TGCCCGTTTTATTCGTTTCCCGAGTGTTGCAGTTTAGAAGCATCCAAAGGCTGCGCTGAGGTTTTAAAAAACCTTTGATAATCGTCTATGGGTGCGGTAATACAGAATTATTACTAGTATTAATGATAAAACAAGCAGTATTAAAAGCAAAGATTACTAAGTCTTTTCTTCACTAAAGCACGAAGACATAATGGTACTGGTAAAATAGGAGATGTTGATTTTCACGCAAAGAAGGTGTTTGGAAAGCTAGTTGTTAAATACACGGGCGAGTAACTATGGTAGTGATTCCGTTCATCACGAGCCTGACGCTGGTTCGAATCCGTGCCGAGGTGACCAAACTTCCTATCCATTCGAGATCAGGAAATTTGTACCAAACTTGTATAGGAGCCGTTGACTTCATCCATTCTAGGAAGGAACGCGATAGTCCGATTATCCCAAGGCTTCGGGGAGAATCAACTCGATCAATATTCACTTAAATGCATGAGTATTACCAACTCCTAAAGAAGCAGCTGAACCAATACGGGATGGTTTCGAAGAGCTTCGTTGGGCGATGTTTATGAAGAAATGAATCGAATGCAGGAAGTGCAAGGATCCGCGTAGTGTTAGTGAAGACGAGTTGTGCAAAACGAAAAAAATAATGAAATAAATGCTCAACCTCATTGTTTCCAACATCATTTTTAAGGCATAAGGCGTTACGGTAACAACCTAGTAGAGATACAGTCTCCATTCAATCCACAAGGACTTCATCTACGAGCAGTCACGGTTTTGGTGCGGCGTAGAAAGCTTGCCTTAAGTTTCACGGAAGGTAAATCTTATTCAAGCATGGTTTAATTAGCAAGTAAAAAAGTATACAACGCATACAGCCCACTACATCATTTTTCCTTAAGATAGGCCTATTAAGCACACAACTCAAGCATGAACAAATTTGAACAAATACGCTTATTCAGATTTTAGTACAGCGAGCATAGATGGTTCGTATTTACGAACATTTGGTAGAAGAAAGCCAGTCGTGAATTGTGAAAAATACGAACAAATTCAGTAGTCCTTAGTTCTTTAGACTTGAAATCATTGATCGTAATCAGATCTATCGTAGGCATATTTGCGCTTGTGTTGAACCAGCTTGGCCGTAGCACTATGATTCTTCTAGGATCTTCGTGAGGAATTCTAATTATCAGGTCGACGGCTTCTTACTTGGCACTGGCGATCCTTTGGAACCAATCGCTGACAGGAACTTTTCAGCGATAGCAGCTAGAGTGCAGTACGTTTCAAGGTTATCGATGGACTATAGATTACTGACGAACATGCAGTGGTAAGTACAAGACTTACGTAAGACGATAGCAGTACTGACTCGCAAAATCAGTAGGCCATCGCAACTCATTGCGTACCCCAGATCAGACTGTAATGTGAATACGGCGTTTTCCTTCTTCTGTAAAGCCTGGAGAAATAAAGGAAAAAGATTTAGCAGTCTCTTCTTCTTATATAAGAGAAGCCAAGAGACAGGAAAAGCAAGGAAATCTAATTGTAACGAATTTGATTAACAAGAATAAAGTAGTTTCACTGGTTGACCATTTAACTTTATTACACTAAACGAACCAGCCAACAAAAGTAGAGTGGAAAAATCAGTTCTCAGAAGGATGCTGATATACGAGGAAAGCTCGAACCCTCAGGTGGGCTTTGAATCCACGATTACGCTTACGATGGCTCACGTGCTACTCAACACACCAACCGAGGCGTTGTCTTCCTCCTAACCACGTTTTTTGCTCTCTCAGTGCTATCAGCAATCACCCTGTCTGCAAAGTTAAGGCATTGTGATTTCGACTGCAGCTCCAGCTTGACTAGGTTCAAGCCCGATTTGTGCCCCATGATCATTCCTGTCAAGGGGATACTTACCGATAACACCAATACAATAAAAACATTGTTGAGCGAAAGGCAAAGCAAGGCTGTCGATTTTCCTGGTAAGCACGCGAGCTCCGGTAAGACTAATCGTGGATTCGAAATGTAAGTGGTGTTTCCAGTTTTGCTCATACTTCAGCACCCTTATCGTTGCATTTCACACATTACTTAGTCGTCAAGAAAAAGGATAAGAGGGTATTAAAAGGTACAGCATTTTGTTTTCAGAGTTTCTAAAGAGATATAAATGAAATCATGCGGGGTTTAATGAACTGATCCATTAAGATCAAATTCATGTGCCTCAGATACCCATGTCAAGAAGTTAGGTGAAATTAGTGCCTTGTTCCCTTGTAATCGAAGAAAAAGAGTGACAAAGGAGTGAAGCCGCAAATTGAAAAAGAACGAATGCACTCTCCATCTCACTGAAAACACGTTGTTAGGAGAATTCTTATAGTTTAACGCTTCACTGAGGTTAACAGATGACAGCGGAATTGGTCTCCTCTACGTGGTTTCTCATGCTGAGAAGGACTTCAACATTTCCACCGGGAAGCCCATCTAGTAGCAAACCATTGCTATGAATCATTCCCGTCCCGACAACGATATGGTCATAGATGATAGAAATGGTGACGGTGTGGGAAACCTAGAGCATGGCTTTCTACATTCTGGGAAAAAAAAGTCTTGCATAACTGCAAATTACCAGTGAGATAGGAGCTGTCGAAGTTCACATGATTCTTCGCAATTCGTAAAGAGCCGCCCGCCATTCAGATATTGAACAGTTCAAAATCTGAAAACGTTCAGCCGTCAAACAGAAAAGATTTAGCTGAGAGATAGGCGAAGCGAAAAACCCGCATGGTGTGGCGGTGAATGCGTTAGCCTCCGGGGAGGGTAACAGCGCTTTCGTTCCCCACCACAGACACCTGCAGTCCGAAGTTTTGCAGATGTCTCAGCATCATCATTGCGGTTGTATTTTGCATTTATACCCTACCGTGAAAACTGTAGAGGTAAAAAAATAAAAAGTAAACATTTGGAAAAAATTCATTTTACATAGCCCGTCATCACATCTACTGTGCGGATCTCAGCACCAATTGTGTTCGATTCGTTTTCCTCACACATATCGTCCAGAAAAGCCTTCCAACATCTCGTGTATTTTTTCGGATTTTTCTTGAGGATTTCCTCGTCTTCATGAGTGTCTTAGAATGATGGTCGAATCGAATCTCCTTCCAGTATTGGATATAGCCGAGTTAAGACGTCTCCACGTGGGTTGGAGGAGAGCATTGGAGAGAGGATCGATCTCTCTGATGGACTTACCTATTCATCAATAAAATTGAAAAATAGTGTACTGGTAACAAAACTGCAATACTTTTCATATCATCTGGGCCATGGGGACCGATTAGATAGTTTTCATATCGTGGTCTGACGGAGATCCTACCGATCACTTATTCGAGTAACTTGGTGATAAGCCAGACCACTGCTGATTCAAGTGATGCAAGGCAGAATACGGAAGATTGCCTACGTTTGCTTCAATATTAAAGGATAAAGCTCTCGGGGTTGATTAATCTTTGAGGGATGCGCCATGCATTCGACCTCATTAAGTATCGTTTGGAGGTGATTGAATGCATATCAAGCCTTTACGATGACTCGCGGTGGCCTGCCGATGTATCGCGCCAGTGCTGCTATCCTTCCAGACAAGTCTGGTACCAATTTGCCTACCCCAGAGGATGGAAGGCTTGGTGAGTTATGGGCACGGGAATCGATTCCACGCGTGTGTCTCAGTGGCGCCCCTAACCACTGTGCCACTCGCATCTCTGTTTCAATATTAGTAACGACAAATGCTAGAGAACAATAAAATAGAATAGCCTACGCTTCAGTATTTTTCGCACTTACTTATTCTCTGAAGGATGCCTTCTAGAACTCCTAACGAATATGTAAAAAAAACTTCAGCAAACGCATCTCATTGTCTCAAAAGTGGCAATATCGCACAGCTAGTAACACAGTATACTCGGCCCGCGATTAGTCGTCTCCAGAGGCTACGACGATGGACCACATCCAGTCAAGCACAAAACTGGGCGCAAAACGAAGGTATCCGAATTGAAAGCGGACAAATCCACAAAGACCGATCCGTTCTGCTTTCTGCTTCTACCTAACCGTCGACCTTCATCCTCTTCCAAAAGTGGTCGCTTAGTTCACATACCGTGTGACCTCAAAATGAGAGAGGCATAGTTTTAGAGCAATATCAAAATAGGACTATGTGACTTGATGTTCCTATGTTCTACGCTAGATATGCTTCAGGCGGAACCATGAATATGACGGAGATTTTGAGGCCACGTTTCGACCAACACTGACGATTTCCGCGCTCCATCGTTAACTGCATGATGATATGTGGGCAGTCCTTCAATTATGAAATTCGATTCTTTCATCCGCACTGGATGAGGTGCTTGTTGCTTCATTTTCCTTAATATGAAATCCTTGATGTCAAGTAAGATTATGGTGGAAGTTTTTGCTTAGAATGCACGTCAAAATCCAGTGCTTCGATACTTGTATACTTGGGTGGTCCGTTTTCACTGGTTGTGCGGGCCGCAGCATAATTTCCATTTCTCGGAGGTTTGCTAGCATAGCCACCGTGGTTTCTTGAGATCCCGAGGTCAGCCTGGCTAAAGTCTGCTGCAGGTGGTCACCAACACAAGCAGTCGCCGCCCTTGTGGATCAGAGCGAGATTTGGTATTGGTTTACCCTTAACTGGACTTCCTGATGGAAACGCCGCACTCCTTCTCAGCTTGAGACCCTGTTAGGGATGAATCTGCCCGTTGTACACCGCAACCCGACACCCAGGAACACCTTCCAGCCACGATAAGGCGGTAAACTGTTGGGAGGAGCCTACTATTTACCTTAACTAATGGTAGTTTCTAGTCTTTTATTGTTTTTTTTTTACGCATATCGTTCATTGGTTTCCATCGCTCAGGTCTATCGAAAGTTTTCCTTTTCCTTTGAAAGTTTTCTTACCTCTTTCTGCAGTTCATTTTTATTTTATCGTTCTTATCCAATGGTATTTTGACTGTTGAAATCTCTCTCTCAAGCAGTCATTAAATCCATGTCGTTTCGTTCTCCAGAGAATGGCAGAGACAACTGTCCAGGCACTCGTAACGGCGGACGAGGAAAGAACTCGTGAACTCACTAACTATAGAAAAAAGCTGGTCGAATATAGAGACATAGAACAGCAGCTGAAACTACTAAGGAAGAAGGTATTCTAATCCAGGAAGATAATCAACTATTGCATTTCTTCAAGAATCCTCATTGAGAACGAAAGGAGGCTTAGTCTTGTAATGTTACTAAGCGTTTCAGTGCTTTTGTACTTTATGGCTATCGTACAGTTGTAAAGATGTTATTCAGGAAAGTGAACTGCAAAAAACTTTTGACAAATGTGAGAACGACATCAAATCACTACAATCAGTAGGTCAGATTGTTGGTGAAGTACTGAAACAACTCACGGAGGAGAAGTTCATTGTCAAGGTTCGTCCACTCAAAATGTTTATTCCTAGACTGTTAAGCTAACAGGAAGTTGATAAAAATGTTCATTCGCCTAACGTCTCGATATCTTCGTCTTCATCAGAACCGACGGTCTGAGTCGATGGGCCACGTCGATCGATCGAGAGGACGAACTACTGTGGACCATCGACTTATATTATCCGCTCCCATGAAGAAGAAAACGTCGAAACGTTGGTCGAATAAGCCTCTTTATCAACCTCTTGTTAGCTTAGCAGTCCGAGATGATATTCATTGCTACTACCGAAGTTTAATGGCGCTCGGTTTGAGAAGAAAACTTTTTGTTTTCGTCGTTTTCTTGTTCAGCAATCGCAAAGTTTTTAAACAGCATATATTTACTTCCATGGAGAAACACAATACAATACAACACTGGCTGACGTTTCGGCAGTATCGCCTTCTTCAGAGCCGCTTTTTTCGTGACTTCCAGTGAGGAAGTTTAGAACAGCTGATTATAGTCGTATATGGTTGATGACTCACTTGGAAACTTCCTCATTGGAAGTCACGTAAAAAGCGGCTCTGAAGGAGGCGATACTGCCGAAACGTCAGCCAGTGTTGTATTGTATTGTGTTTCTCTATGGAAGTAAATGTATGCTGTTAAAAACCTCGCGATTGCTGAACAGGAAAACGGCGCATTCATATTCCAATGTCGAGGTTAGTACAAAGTCGATACTGGGAATTATTACAAGATGTTTTGTTGAATATTGCGTGTATTCCGGTTTATGTCACTATTTACGTTTTACCTCTGCGAGGTACGGCGCGTTTTAATGTATTCACAATCATTTTTTTAGGCTACAAACGGACCAAGGTACGTGGTAGGATGCCGCCGGTCTATAAATAAGGAACAACTGAAACAGGGCACACGAGTTGCTCTTGACATGACCACCTTGACGATTATGTAAGTATTCCAATGTCGTTGTATTCCATATTTACAAGCGTTTTTTGTGTTTTTGAGATCGATTGGTATGATTTTCTATTCTGCAATGACTGCAGGAAACTTTCTGTTATTTCTTACCTACTATAGCTTTTTCACGGTAAGGTTTGATGTGAAATACAACCACGATTGTGCTAAGTTATTTGCAAAACTTGGACCACACTCTAGATTGGTACCTGTGATTACCATTTACAGGGCTCATGTGTTACTCACTGCACCACTGAGGCTTTTGTTTGCCTTTCTCACCGCGAGAAACAATAGGCAACGAATAGAAAGTTAAGCATTGTGATTTCGAGTACAACTTCAGCGCAACTGGGTTCCATGATGATTTGTACTCCCCGGATCCTTCCCTTTGACGAGTGATTGTTGATAGCACCGTTAAGTTAAAAAAAAAACTAGTTCATGCAAAGGCAGAACAAGGGTCTCACTATTATAGTGGGTAAAACGGGTCCTCGGAAAGGGTAATCGTGGCTTTGAAAAAAAAATTTGGTCTCGGGTCCAATTCTTGCAAATGCCTCAACGTCGTAATGTATTCCTTTTGTTTCACCAAGATCTTCATTGTTAGACACGAAGAGAGTTATTTTATCTCTCTAAATTACTAAACCTTCATTGATGAAGTTTTCCTTTGTTTTCGTTGGATCGTTTTTTTTGAGGTCTGTCTTTTAGGCGGCAATTACCTCGTGAAGTGGATCCATTGGTTTACAAAATGTCACACGAAGATCCAGGTAACATCACTTATGCCGATGTTGGCGGTCTTGCCGAGCAAATACGTGAGCTCAGAGAGGTTCGATAGCGTTAATAACTTCATTTTCTGAAAGCTTGTTAGAGAAATTCAACCATATTCTCAGGCTTGGTTTTCAAGAAGTGCCCTAAGCTATTATCGCTTAATACAAGATGCTTTTGCACGTTTATGATGAATATTTCGGGCATTGACTTGAATACAACCACAACGTTGCTGAGATATTTGCAAAACTCTGGACCGCAGGTGTCTATGGTGGGGAACGAACGCGCTATTATCCTTTCCGGGGAGTAACGCGTTCACCACCACACCATGCGGGTCCTTTGTTTCGCACGTCTCTCAGCTATTTCTATCGATCTTTTTGCCACAGCAATCACCCGTCAGCGGGGTTGATCTGGGGAGCGCAAATCGGCATAGAACCCAGTTAAGCTATGGCTGTAGTTGAAATCACAATGTTTAACGTTTTGTTTTCCGCCTTCTATAATTTAGCTGAGAGACGTGCGAAACAAAGGACCCGCATGGTGTGGTGGTGAACGCGTTACTCCCCGGAAAGGATAATAGCGCGTTCGTTCCCCACCATAGACACCTGCGGTCCAGAGTTTTGCAAATATCTCAGCAACGTTGTGGTTGTATTTCGCTTAGTAACCTGCCATGAAAATTATAGAAGGCAGAAAACAAAACGTTAAACATTGTGATTGACTTGAATATTTCCTGTTAACGGATCCATATTACCAATGTTTTTAACACGGAAATTTTGACCCTTGAAATTTTCAGGTTGTCGAGCTTCCACTATTAAATCCAGAATTATTTCGTCGCGTAGGAATTACTCCACCCAAAGGATGTCTACTTTATGGACCTCCAGGCACTGGAAAAACACTTTTGGCTAGGTCTGTCGTGAAATTATTTGGAATATCATTCAAGCGTAAGCGCCTATAGCAGCTTGAATGCCTACAATGCACACAGGATTATGTGCTGGATCGCGGACCTCCGACAAATAAGAACCTTCGTTCCCTCAGGAGTCTGTAGATTGTTGGTGGTCTACGTATAAAAACATTAATTAAGTGCATCGGTAAGCTCCAGAAAATCATTGTGTAAACCAAATACATATTCAGTTACCTTTGGGATGCTTTGTGAAGAGGGATGCGTTATGCGCTACCGAAGGGTTCATCAGCGTCAGACGCTGTCTTATCGTTTTATCATCAATTATGTTGATGATTCCATGCATTTGCAGAGCTGTTGCTTCACAGCTGGACTGTAACTTCTTGAAAGTCGTTTCATCTGCCATCGTTGACAAATACATTGGAGAATCCGCACGAATGATTAGAGAGATGTTCAACTACGCACGTGATCATCAGCCTTGTATAGTGTTTATGGATGAAATTGATGCCATAGGTGTGTTCGTTCTTTATTGCTTTCAGTTTTGCTACGTGGTATTTCTTTGTTAATATTCTCAGGTTTTGCTCTTTTTACTGTTTTCGTAAGGTGATTTGCTAATTTTACTGCATTTACGAAGTTCTCTATCATTGTTATGTGTGCTGCAGCAGTTTCAAATAGGTGGGCGTCGATTTTCGGAGGGCACTTCTGCCGATCGTGAAATTCAAAGAACTTTAATGGAGTTACTAAACCAGCTCGATGGTTTTGATTCACTCGGGAAAGTTAAGGTGAGATTTTCATCTAAACCTTACATATTAATCGTTTTTACTTTTGTTTATTTCACTGCACTACCTATAGTAAACTTATTATCAGGTTATTATGGCAACTAATCGCCCTGACACACTTGATCCTGCTCTGTTACGTCCTGGTCGTCTTGACCGTAAAGTTGAAATCCCCTTACCAAATGAGCAGGCAAGACTTGAGGCAAGTTATATTTGTTTGCAGCTCCATGTACTTATTCGTTCCGTTGTTATCCTGTCTCACTTTCCGATCTAGTCGGATAGTTTAGTTACTACTTTGTAAACCCATTTATTCGTGTCTGAGAATTCTTAACATTTTTTTTACGAAGTGTGTAGTATAAATCCCTTCGTGTGAAAATACTAGTTTTTCGTTCACCTTCTTTACAACTGTTTTATTGCATTATGAGGAGAGGCATCATCAGTAATGAGAAATAAGGATCACCTGCCACCTCTACCCCATACAGTTCTGTTGATTATCGATTACTCAAACTTACTTGGATGGGCCGTCCTCACTGGTTCTGCGGGCCTCAGCACCATCTACATTCTCCGGAGATTTGCTGATTTAGCCATTGTAGTTTTCCTGAGTCCCGAGTACATTCCTGCCAAAGTCTACCTCACGTGGTCACCACCGCAGGCAGCTGCAGCCACTGTGGATCAGAGGGAGATTTACCACCATGCGACTTTGATACCGGGACGGTGGTAGATCCTGGTATTGGTTTAGTCTTAGCTGGGCTTCCTGAAGGAAAAGCAGGTCTCCTTCTCAGCTTGGGAGACCCTGCCAAGGGGATGAACCCCACCGCTGTACATCACAACCCGACACCTAGAGCACCTATCAGCCACGATGAGGCGGTAAACCGTTGAGAAGGATTACTCAAACTCCTACTAGTAAATTCTGAATTTGTCCCAGTTACATGGCAAGCCATTACCCTTTCTCAAACGAAGCATTTCACTTATACTTTTTTTTGGCAAAAAGATAGTCACAGGAGGATGGCCATGCTTTTAGGTAGCGTAGGTTTTTAATTCTAGGTAGGAATTCATGCAGGGACTCCTGCTTAACATGGACGGTTTTGACGGCTGTCTGAAGTCTTGATGTACATTAGATTTCGAAATTCGTACCATGGGGAGCCAAGGAAATTGTGGCTTTGGAGGGTCAATCATCGTATCCGAATTTTCCCTTATTCATTGATCGTCAACAGTTTGTAGGCTTAAGTGATTTCTTTCGAAGTCAAACTTCGTGTACTGTTTTCCCAGTTATAAGAATAATTTGGATTAGCGTTTTTGCGAATCACGTTCTTATTTTTTACCTCAGGTTCTGAAAATTCACGCAAATCCAATAACGAAGCATGGCGATATAGATTATGAAGCCGTAGTGAAACTATCGGACGGGTTTTCCTGTGCTGATCTTCGTAACGTGTGCACGGAAGCGGGTTGGTTTGTATCTACCCTTTTTCTTTACCTTCTTGGAAGTTGAATTATAGCTAATTAGTTTGATTAAGCTTTTCTGGTTATTTGAGGTCTCTTTGCGATAAGAGCTGAGCGTGAATATGTGATCGAAGAAGATTTTATGAAGGCTGTCCGCAAGGTTTGTTCACAAACATGGTTCTCCTGCTGTATACCGTATTGTTAAAATATTCACTTACAAAAGGCCTTTCTGAGTAGTTGTAGTGTTTCGGGATTAGAGATTTTTTCTGCATAAGATTTCCTCGTCTTAGGTTGGTGACGCTAAACGATTGGAGACAAAGCTGGATTACAAGCCTGTGTGAGATGCGTTAACTTGGTCGCTATCCTGGGTACCTGATATTTATTGTTATGAGGTTCAACTTGTTTTCTTAAGTGTCTTCGTACTAACACTAATACGTTTTAACTAAGTTTCTTTGTTGTTTTTATTATGGAAATATTACAGAATTACTGAAAATCTGTGTTGAATGGTGTATTAAATATCTTTTTCTACCCTTCTTTCCTTCTACTTTTTTCCTGAGCTCTGTCCACTTTCCATCCGCTGTTTTGTAACCTTTGAAGATGTACCACTGGTTCACTAGTACTTAAGTTTTCACCACGTAACGAACCTAGGTCGATGGAAATGTGTTAACTGGTGTTTCATGATTGCTGTCGAGTTGAAGGCATTATCATTAAAACATGACAGCGCAATTATTCCTGACGACTTTATGTCCATATTACGCATATGTCGCTATAACACCCGGAGTCAATTAACTGGAAGCCGTTGTTTTGAGCTAACCGTTCCCTGATAATCGTTGAGGTCTGCTTGGCCTATACTGTAAGAATACATTTGGCTAGGTCTAAATTCAAATTTCATGTTATTTAGTGCTCATTTCCTATCCAAATTTTATTCATTTAAAGTCAAGATTTACTTACTTGCTCCTTAGTATAAAGTAAGATATCGGTGTGATGTATACATGATTAACACCTCACAATTTGCTTGAATTTCACGCTGGCGGCCATGTGCGCTGGACCACTGAATTATCTTAGTGCAGATTTTCATATGAGTTAAGATTCGGCTTCAAAGAGTTGACGAGCTTATGGTACGTATATTCCTCGTTTTAAAGGAAATTTAAGATGTAGTCACATAGTCGCGGCTTAATTGCCGATCTCGGTCTTCTTTTCTCCAGAAGAGTAGAAAGTCTCAAAATTTGTTGATAGGAAAAGCCAGACCACTACTTAATAAATTGTAGTCGTTATCTTGAATTCTTGACAAGCTTATAGATTGGAAAGCACCAAGGGTCACACCACCTAAGGTTTGGATCTCCAAATCTTTCCACAAACAGAAAGAACGAACATTACGGGGAGAGAAGAGAAGCCGTAATGGCTTCAGGTTCAGAGGCTAATAAGAGCGCCCACAACAACATCCGTCACCTCATTATTTACAGTATCAAGACGATCACCGTCCGATGCCCAGCTTGAACAACCACTGGATACAGAAAGGGGGGGGGGGGGGGGGGGGGGGGGNNGGAATTCTGCACAGCTTCTATCCCGGTTTGACACTCGCGACAACGTCTGTCTATATCAGTTCAGAGAGCATGGCTTAATTTTCCCAGCTGTTTTATTTTCTGATGTTCGACATGCTAATTCGTCAGTGAAGAACTACACAGTACCCGGACCAGGTAGAAGTACATTCAAACATCTGACCTAGCGAACCTACCACACCCGTCGTTATCAAAATCTACTGGCCCGAATTTGTTTGTTACTTGTCAAATTTTAATGGTTCTTGTCAATGTAAAGCCAGCAAGAAATGTTTATGTGACACAAGAGCACTACTTGCTTGTCTGCGTGCTATCTCTGGCCTATAAGCTCTTTATGCAAATTATCTCACTAACTCGGTATTTTTCTTCAATAAGCAGACACGAGGTTGTTATTATAGAATTTATTAGGGTACAACAGCTGACGTTTCGGCGGTTTCGCCTTCTTCAGAGCCTGGAAAGGTCAAATTGAGATGTGATCTACTCAGCCAAACACTTTCAAAACCCCAGCAGATAAAACTTGACAATTCGATTTGCATTCGCATAAGAAACAGCTTCATTTAAACACCTACCGTTTATTTGTTGTAAGTATTTAAGTTAGTTGGTGGATAGCCGCCGCACAGAGTAATACATGGGCGATAACTATAACAACCTCGTGTCTGCTTATTGAAGAAAAACATCGAATTATCAATCAATGCCGAGGTTAGAAGAAGGTTGGTCATGGGAATATCTCACTAACGTTAACGAACAACTGGACGAAGGTTAACCATATGAAAGAGCATGGTTTAGAAAAGTTTCAATACTATAAACTAATAGGATGACAAAATAAAAAGAGGATAAAGCGCTCGGAGTTAATGTATGCGTTGGGGACGGGGCACACGACATAAATAAGAAGGATTTCATGCCGTTGTCGTTAAAATAATTCGCACCTGATTTAAAGTTTTGTGAATAAAGTTGTAAAAGTTCTTATGAAAGAAATGTGAGCTAAGCGAAACCAGGTGTCGTCAAATTTGATCGGGCACTAAATGTGAGAGTTCCCAAAGTCGTGTGGCCTTTCCCGCCGAAGTTTTCCCATGTGGTACACGGTCCTCAGTCGTCGTCTATATGCCCTTCGTTTCCTTCAGTATCTTTTTTTCCCCAATTTTATTAACTTTCTGGCACTTCAAGTATAGCATGTCTCAGGAATGACTATGTGTTAACATCTACATTGATCAATAATTTTGTTCTTCACTTTCCTGGATGTTATCACAGTGTAGAGCGCGTGTAGTGCAGTGATTGGAGGCGCCACTGCAACACACATGTGGAATCGATTCCCGCGGCAATCGCGAGTCCTTGTAAAGGCCAGATATGCACTCAATCACCGTTAACGATAGTGAATGAAGTAGAATGCATGGCGCATCCTTTAGGGATTGATCAACGCCGAGAGCTTGATCCTTTTTTTATGACAGTGTTTGGACTGATTAGCTTGCCTTTTATTTCGACCTTTTTAGGCTCTGAAAGTGTCGAAAGAACCGAAACGTCAACTGTAGAGTAGATCATGCACTTTCGCACCTACAAATCAAGAAAACAGTGAATTTATGAATTTTATTTTCCTCTTTTCATAGAGCGTCTGACGTTACCATTTATCATCTGGTTCGAATACTCATCGAATTTCTATGGGAAAGTTCCCTGCCTATTGTACCAGCAAAACTTCGCTATTATGGTATAGTACCGTACTATTTTTATTGTTGAGAAGGGAAAAGGTCTTGAATCCCAGGATCTTCTTTACTGTTGTTACATTTTATTTGTGGCAAAGTGCGGTAATATGTTAACTGCTATTGTTTCAATTTTAACTTATTTCTTACTGCCTACTCTTCTTAATGGCAGGGTATATTGCGAAATATAACCTCAATGATGCTGAGATATTTGCCAAACTCTGGACCGCAGGTGTCTGCGGTAGAGGGCCAAAGAGCTACTATCCTTTCCGGGGGTTAACGCGTTCGCCACCATACCATGCGGGTCCTTCTTTTCGCCTGTCTCTCAATTAGCTCTATCGATCTCTGCCATCAACAATCATCCGTCAGCGGGATTGATCTGGGGAGCCCAAATCGTCAATGAACCCAGTTGAGCTGAGGCTACAGTTATATGTATTCTTTTTTGATAAACTTGCACGAGGTTGATAAATATATTTATTTTCGGCTAACGTTTCGACGTCTTCGTCTTCCTCACTTCTGCGCTTTGTGCTAGCTGATAATAACACCGACTTCTGCACGATGTCCGCAACGATGTATGCCCGGAAGAAATACAAGCTGTTACCACCGGACATTACCATTATATATCCACCATCAGCATCGTGTATAAAAGGGCATCACTGAGTGAGGATGCCTCATTCGATTCGAGAAGATGGCTCACTGAGGAAGACCTGATTCGACACGAAGGCGAAGCTGCAACGTCGAGACGAACAACAATCATGGACCATCGACTCGGATCATCGGCTCTGAGGAAGACGAAGACGTTGAAACGTTAGCCGAAAATAAATATGTTTATCAACCTCGTGCAAGCTTATCAAGAAAGAATACATATTGATTAGTCACACCGAGGTTTAGAGAAAGTTGGTTTCGAAATATTGCTGCAGTTATAATCACAATTTTAGCTTATTATTTACTGCCTACTCTTTCTATTGGCAGGGTATATTGCGGAATATGATCTCAATGATGCTGAGAAGAGTTTTGCTATTATTTCGTTCAAGAAAAAAAGGGTCTTGCATTTTTTGAAATTACATCAAGTTAACTTCCTTGAAAACTTTTTTTTTTTACATTTGCTGGCCGACTTGAGTTGTTCTCCAAGTAACTTGCAGTGCAAAGGTTAAAATTTGCAAGGATCATCGAAGCAACTCTCATTCAGCACTCATCTCAGCTCAAAGTGAAACTATTAACTACAATGAAAAGTACTAAATTTTAGAAGTCTTTGGCTACAAGATAGAAGCTGTTTTGTGATATTCATCATTATGAAGAGTTCCTGATTTTATGGAACCAATCAAACATGTTTTGTGCAGTTCCTTTTTCGTTGAGGCTTGTTATTTGAAAATGGAAACAAATGAGCAAGCAGTATCTCGTCGATTATGGCAAAATGATGTCCCAAGACGCGTTTTTTTTTTTGGTTGCTAGGAATTTGTTTGAAGCATTTAGACTTCGTTTTGATTTCTGTTTGAAATTTAAGTTCTAATTAATACTAAGAGCTAAATAACAGTTTTAATGAACTAGATGAAGCACGTTTCTTCTATAAATTTAAAGCATTTTCAACTGCTCAGGGATTATTGTTATCCGGAAGTTATTAGCACTTTGCGAAGAACCTACTTCAGGCCTTAGGTGTTAAATGATTTAAAAGCCTTTGAAAGTCACATGTTTCCTCTAACGTGGGAAAAAACATATTAGTTTCATTGCGATAAAATCTTTGTCTTCCGGCAGAAGAGGATTTTCTGAAAGTGTTTCTTGCATCGGCTTTATAGTTTCGTGCATTTCTTTCACGTACTTGTTAACGGTTTTTAAAACGCTTAGGATGGAAAAAGCCCCCAAAAATCTTGGTAGTAAAATCACACTTTTTCTCAAGTCCGTTCTATTTTAGAAGTCTTCAGATCTGATATGTTCTATATATTTCTGTTTGTTTTCTGCGTATCATTGAGTACTTAAATATTTGTGAAAGCTTAGTTGTTTTTTAAGGTCCGTAAGGTTTTAGTAGGTAGAATAACTTCCAGAACTTAGATCAGTTGTGATCCGTGGTCATTGTCCCTTATGACTTCCTTATCCTTA